AACAAAATAAGAAATTAAGAAATAAATAAAATTACTTTTTTAAATTACTAAAATAAGTTTAAGTTTTAAGTGAAGTTAACGTTTAAGTAATGTTTTTTTTTTATGGTTTTAGTCTCAGATTTAGTTTTCTGTAATAAACCTGGTGTGAAAAGCAGCTGCATCTACAAAAATAGCAGTATATATTAGTAATTTGTAATCACTTCTGCTTGAATATCTTCATTTGTAAGTTTCTTAATGAAAGCATCTGTTCAGCCCAGAGTCTCCTGCACCCGTCTGTGTGATGTCATCTTCACCAGTCCGATTTATGTGCATGTACAAAAGCCTTAAAGTGAGTGACCGTGTGTGTGTGTGTGTGAGCAGCAGCGCAGTGGAGAGGCAGTGAAGGTCCACCAGTTGGATGTGGCGATTCCTCTGCAGTTGAAGAGTCAGCTGAAGAAAAGCCCCGCTCCTTCATGCACTGCAGACACAGACTCCGACATCAGCGACACCATGCAGTTCGTCATGCTCACACGCAAGGGCAACAAGCAGCAGGTACCAGTGTGTGTGTGTGTGTGTGTGTGTGTGTGTTGGAATGGTTTGGGTCTGCAGGGTGTGTTCAGGATGTGGCTTTGGGAGTGTAAACTACAGCACACACACACTTTTATTTGGCAATCGAAATGGGGAGAGTCCATAGACGTAATGGTTTTTACACTGTACAAACTGTACAGTGTAAAACTGTACAACTATATTCTCTCCTCTTACACTAAACCTACCCATCACATAAAACTTTATGCATTTTTACATTAAAAAAAAGGTTTGGGTCACTTCTGGGTACAAATTTGTCCCCAAAATATAGTTAAGTGGGTACACACCATAGACTGTAAAAAAAATGGTACACACACACACACACGGAGTCTTTGTTTTCATTCTGCCGGTGTCTCAGTGACCCACTTTAACTGTCCAGTCTTTCAGAAACTTGACATCCATCTGACATTCTGTGCCTGTTTTCTCTCTGTCTCTGGTTCAGAGTGTGTGTTTTAACCACAGCTGTGTGCAGGGAGAAACTGTGCTTGAAGTTACTGGAGTGTGTTTAACAAGAAATACTGTATTTCTACTACAAAAATGCAGGTTTAATTCAATGTTACTGTAACTGTGAAAATTACTTACAAATTAAATGAACTAGTGCAAAATAGAATTAAGAACTTAGAACTAAGAAAGTAGCATAACATGTAACTATTATATTATTTAAACGAAGAGTAAATGTGATTTTTGTCATTTTCATTTTATTTTAAAGAACTTGTTCACATGTAAGCTGAATATGTGAGTTAACGAGAGGAATGAGCGTGTGTCTGTCTGTCCAGTTTAAGATCCTGAACGTGCCGCTGTCGTCTCATCTGGCAGCCAATCACTTTAACCAGCAGCAAGCGGAGCAGGAGGAGCGCATGCGCATGAAGAAGCTCACGCTGGACATCAACGAGAGACAGGAGCAGGAGGACTATCAGGGTGAGATGGCCGGTTCGACACAATACAAATATTAAAGCCGAAAAATATGTATCTATGCAACTTGCATGAAGTAAAAGCCTTCCTTCCGCTGAAAAAAATAGTCCCTGAGGCACATGGTTTATGTAAGCAATAAGGTTTGATTGGCTCCGCTTCGCGTCGTGCCTAACAACGCCCTTCAGCCGTGACTTATTCACGATACAGCACTAGCCTCGAGTACCTTATTGCTTTTATAAAATGGTTACCACACAATACAAATATTAAAGCCGAAAAATATGTATCTATGCAACTTGCATGAAGCCAAACCACTAAAAGCCTTCCTTCCGCTGGAAAAAATAGTCCCTGACCGTAAACAGCAACAGAAGTTAAATACATATTTTCGCCATTAGATGGCGGCATAAACTGTCTTTATGAGTGAGTCGGTAAAGAGGACTTTTACATTGAAACGGCTCAAAACCAAGCGGCAACCTCCCTGTCTCTCTCTTGAAACCAACACGGAAGTGAATTAAACTGCAATTCATCCACTGACCGCTTGAGGCAGGCTGCAGAAGTGAGTCAAATCTGCATCTCCCCCATGTTAAAATGCCCAACTTTACAGCAGAAAAAAACATGTTTACAGCCTGGAGCAAAAAGTGGTTTTGGTCTTTATAGCTTATTTTGCCCTTCATGACAACTGTGAGGGGGGTGAATTTTTTTACAACTCATCCGTTTAAATTATATTAAGCCTGCATAATTAAGGGCGTGGCCACTTGAGTGACAGGTGGATTGCGGCCGTTTGTCTGTCACTCCAGCAGCTGCTGTACTTGCCATCTCTGCCGTGTTTGTGCTTTTTTCGGGATTATTTCATACAATTTAATACACGCATTATACCTTCGCCCACGCCGTTGGATTCCGTTGTTGTCGTCGAGTATGGAGCATAGACTGGTCTGGAGAGAACAACCAGCGCTGTATTTCCAGTTGTTTTCCTCGCATGCACTACGTTAATGAATGTCTGACAATTTCCTTGCTAAAAAAGTCTATAGATAGAGAGACCACACTCGTTATGCGGTACTGTTGCTCTCACGGAACAGATGCTTATTTTACTTTTTAGTGTTAAATAAAAGTACCGTCAGATGAAATCCTGCAGGTGTCAGTGCTTTCTCTCCGTCCATGCAGTAACGTCAGATGCACACCCTTGAATGAGCGCGGATTTCTAGTGCATTTACTTGAACTTCTGAGGTAATATCTTTGGTGTAACCCATTTGAGAAAATGAGTTAGATTTTACTGTCTATGGCGCAAACATCGGGAAACTGTAGCCTATATTTATGCAGTGTGCATGTCAAAAAATGTATCCCGATTTGAAGCTTGTGACGTATAAACACACACATCAACACTAAACATGTTTAGTGTTCATGTAAACACTACATTCAGATTCATCAATCGGAATGAATTCAGTCCGATTGAAACACAAGTTGTGCATGTAAACAGCCACTGTACTGAAGATGCTGATTCTGATCCATCATGTTGTTGTTGTTGTTGTTGTTTCAGAGATGATGCAATCCCTCGCTCAGAGACCGGCTCCTGCGAACACCAACCGAGAGCGCCGGCCCCGGTACCAGCACCCTAAAGGAGCGCCCAACGCTGACCTCATATTCAAGACCGGCGGCAGGTCAGACACACACACACACACTGATCAAGCAGAAGAGGACATTCATCTGAAAACTTTTTACAGAACTTTCTAAATCCATTTGACTGGTAAAATATTTCAGTTGCACTAGCAACAACTCTGTGCGATTAATCGAAATAAAACTGAACTATGGCTTTGTGCAATTCATTTTATTTTATAGGAAAATATTACAGTAGGAATATGTTTGTTTTATATTTTTGATTAGTATTATATTTTATTTTGTTATGAGATTGCATTCATTGTCATTATAGTGTTACATATTTATATTACATTTTTTATTCTGTTTCATATTTTTATTTAGTAATAATTACATGTATTTGATAAAATGTATTTTTCTTTTAATTAAAATCTATCTAATCATTATTATATTTATTAATACATACAGTATTTATATATATATTATATATTATTATTATACTTTACTACTACTCAAATTATTTATTATACTGTTGGTTTGTTATACTTGATAACAAATATTATATTTTATATTGTTATATATTATTTTGAAAATAAATAATAATAGCCATACAAACAAGCACAGCAAACCTGGAGCTTTTTAATGTGTGTATATATATATATATATATATATATTAAATATTAAAATGTTTTTTAAAGTAAATAAAAATTGTGTTTTTGCATGAAGTTCTTCTGCAACAGTCGTCACACACATCCTGCTCACTCACTGACCCTTAACACACACACACTGACCCTTAACACACACACTGACTCTTAACACACTCACTGACCCTTGACCCTGTGCACCGCAGGAGACGCTGATGATGTCAGACTGAGGTAACGACGAGTCAAAGACAGAGAGATGGACAAGCGGTGCTTTGGACTCTGAGACGGAGACACACCTGACTGAGCGTCAACACGGCAACCAGAGAGGAGCTCCATCAACACACACACACACACACACACACACAGGATGGAGGTGATCTTACTTTGGCTGATAGAGTTTGATGGTTGGATAGTGTCCAGTGCCGAAGAGACTCTCGCGGTGGAAAACTCAATGTTTTTGCGCTGTTTCCTCTCCTGATGTTTATTCTCTCTAACCTCAGCGATGGTTCCTGAGCGAGACGTGCATGGGCTGAACGCAGCCGCTAACATGTTCGCTGTTGCAGTAAAAGTGACTTCATGTGACCGTGAGAATGTCTCTTTTTGTCTCTGTGCTCTCAAACGCTCACCAGCTTGTTTTCTGTCAGTGAACTCAATGACTAGAGCGGCTGATCAGAATGCTGTCGAACCGGACACACACACACACACACACACACACGCCTGCGGGCCGGAACAGGTAAGATCAAACCCAGAGAAAAGGCCTGGATGATTGGGACTGTTTTAAGCGCCAAAACTGCTCACGAAGAAACGTCGTAATTTAATTCACCATCAAATCACCAGGAAAACGGCCTGTTTTAGAACCAGTAAGATTGGCATGCAAATCATACATCCACATGATTCAACTCAGAATAAGTACCTACAATTGTACTTTCATATTTAAATGTTTTTAGGACTATATTTAGGGGGTTAATTGTCATTAAATAATTTCTCAATGCCAAAATGTTTTTTTTTTTTTTTCTGGGTTTTACTCTGATGTTTTCAGCCGTTTCTGATTGAGTTGTTCTCTATTCTGTTTTATGTTTGTATTGTGCTTTGAATTTGTGGTTTAAAAAGACTTTTGCTAGTCTTTTCATCAACTTAACTGATTAAATGTCTCTTGTCAAAGGCGTTTGAGTGAATTATTGAGCTTGGCGCACACCCCATAATGCAGTTATGAAGTTGATGAAGAGCTGATGAGGTCATCAGCCAAAGAAAATTATCATTGACAAAAAAAAAACTTCTGCATTACATTATAACTGATGGTTTCATTGCATTTATTCAGAAACAATTCTATAATTAAAGATCTTAACCAATGCAAGAAAATATACATTTTTATGTCCAGCAATGTTCTCATTTATATAAAGAGGTGGTAATAAACAATGTGTTATGTGTGTGTGTGTGTGTGTGTGTGTGTAGTGGTGTCACATGTTCACAATCATGCATTCCATATCCTTCAATAACTGCTTCTCTTGAAGCAAAAAACCGGAGTCAAAATAAAAATAAAACAAAACAATGCGCACATGCATTGTCAAAAACACACATTCTACATGCATAACACATCAACTCATTCATTCTGAAACTCACAATACACACACTACAGGTGAAAACACAACGTGATTAAGGGTTGGTGGTGATTTTAACATGTTCCAGATCTGCAAGCTCTCGATGTGAATGTCTGTGGTTTAGTGTGGGAGGAACTAAACTTACATTTACGAGAGCTTCTGCAGTGTTGCATGCTGGGAGAGAAAGAAGGGACAAGACGGTTATCTAGATTCTAGAAAACCCAACAACCCACAAGTCAACATCGAGAAAATATTAAACACAACATTATCATATGAACATGCTGAACATCATAAAGAAACGCTATAAGAAACTCTGAGGTATTTCTAGGATAAAGCTCTGGGTTTTTCCCATCAATTGATCCTCAAGCACAGACACAATTAAAAAGATAAGCTGACGTATTTAACAGTTTGAACATACTTGAGTGTTTAAATGGGCTTAGTACATGAATTTGAGCAATTACTAAAGTGCTAATAAACAAATGAATCTAAATTAACTAGAGTGAGTTTAACTAGACTAGTGACTATTTTAACTTGTTCTTATTAAAAATTAATTAGTAAATTAACTTAATTAGTAACTAATTAACATAATTAGGTAAATAGTCACTAGTCTAGTTAGACCAATAACTTATTTTTAACTAGAAACCTAATTAGTTCATTAATAACTTAATTAGTTAATTAGTAATTGAAAGAACCTAATTAACTAAATTGAAAGAGCCCAGACTTTTTAACTAGTAACTAAGTTAAAAAACTAGTTTAAAAGTAACTAATTAACCAATTAATAAATTAACCAATTAACTTACTTAGGAAAAAGCAAATAAAAAAGTGAAAGCGAAAGTAAAAAATGAAAAAGAATATAAAGAAAAAGTAAAAAAAACAACAACTAATTAATCAATTAACTAATTAATCAATTAACCAATTAGCTTACTTAGTAAAAAAAAGTGAATGCGAAGGTAAAAAAATGAAAAAGTAAATGAAAAAGTTTTTTAAAAACTAATCAATTACCTAATTAATCAATTAACCAATTAGCTTACTTAGTTTTAAAAAAGTGAATGCGTAGGTAAAAAATGAAAAAGCAAAAAAATGCAAATAAAAGTGAAAGCGAAGGTAACAAAAATGAAAAAGTAAATAATGAAAAAGTTAAAAAACCAATCAAGTAACCAATTAACTAATTAATCAATTAACCAATTAGCTCAGAAATGAAATGGAAATTAAAAAGTGAAAGCAAAGGCAAAGGTTATAAAAAAAAAGAAAGTTTTTTGTAAATGAAAGTTTCTTATTATATTATTAAACGTAGCGAAAATTAACGTTGAAGCAGCATAACCACAGCGACGGGCGGTCCGAAACCTCGGGGGGGGAACACACACACACTACCCCCCCCTTTGGTTTGGTTTTTTGGGTGTGCAGACTCCTGACCCAGGGTCGAACCATGGACCTTGGGAAGGTGAAACCATGACTCTACCACTCTGCCACCAGAGCCTGCACAGTTCAGACACTTCTCTTCGTACATTTATCTTTCCAAACGGAGTCTAAACTCACAACAGCAACAAGAAATTGGAACAGAACCGGCAACCACTCGCTTCAGTGCCGGTACCAGTACCACTGAGCCACCGTAGACGACACGGTTCTGACGGATCTCCTGGTACATTTATCTTTCGAAACGGAGTCTAAACTCACAACCGCAACAAGAAGTTGGAACAGAACCGGCAACCACTCGCTTCAGTGCCGGTACCAGTACCACTGAGCCACCGTAGACGACACGGTTCTGACGGATCTCCTGGTACATTTATCTTTCGAAACGGAGTCTAAACTCACAACCGCAACAAGAAGTTGGAACAGAACCGGCAACCACTCGCTTCAGTGCCGGTACCAGTACCACTGAGCCACCGTAGACGACACGGTTCTGACGGATCTCCTGGTACATTTATCTTTCGAAACGGAGTCTAAACTCACAACCGCAACAAGAAGTTGGAACAGAACCGGCAACCACTCGCTTCAGTGCCGGTACCGGTACCACTGAGCCACTGAAGACGACACGGTTCTGACCGTTCTCCTGGTATGTTTATCTTTCGAAATGGAGTATGAAATTGTATGGAGGAATCTTAACAGTGTTTTACAAGTTCAAATATGGAGTGATTAGTCACATGACAATTAGGACTCAGGGGATTGGCTCAATGTTCTGGAACCATGTGACCATAAAGCAAAGATGGCCGAAACCAGGCCATGCGCTTCCAAAGCAGCATGTGGAGCTTGAGATGAATGTGAATCCTGAGTTAGTGTTTGCTAAAGATATCAGAACTGATTGGATTCTTGTTTTTTACCCAAAACTCCTAAGCAGAAAAAACAAGCTCAGTCGAAACAAGTGCTAGTTGCGACTTTTTCTATAAACCTAAAACATAAATCTGTTGTCTCTTGACCTTCTGAACACTGGACATCTTCAAACAAGGTAATGCCAATATGGTTTGTTTGTGTGTATATATATATATAAACGATTAGTTGAAGTCAGTGCTGGGTAGTAACTGATTACATGTAATCTAATTACCTAATTAAATTTCCAAATATTAAATACATGTAATTAGATTTATCTTATGTTTTAAAAAAAACTCAATCACACTACAGTTACTTTTAAAATTGATTCTCAGAATTTGATTTACAGAAATAATTTCACTTTGGAGGAGTATTTTCTCAACATTACAACTCCTGACGAACATCATTTATTATTTGTTGTCAGTCAATCCTCTTTTGATGTAATATATTTGCTTGAAGTCGCCCTGAAATTTTAAGAAGTTCATAAGTCAATAATTTAACATTTGCATGTTCATGTTTCTCTGATGTCATATAATGGTCACATGACATTATTAAGTTATTCATTAAGTGTTTTAGTTTGTTTTCAAATTCTTTAAAATTAACTTTTTTATTGAACTAACTGTTAATTTTTCATGAACTTGGATACTCCCTGAAATTCCTTCACGAACCCTGGTTTGGGAAACCCCAACATCAGGTAATGGGACAAAATGTGGTATAATATGGTATTATCTTATTCAAATCTAAGTGTTTAACAAGTTAGGTCAATAGTAATCTGATTATATGACCTAAATAGCTTACGTTACCAACTACAATTTAGTCATGTACAATGCATTCAGCCACAGACTAAATATTGTAAGTAATCTACCCAGCACTGGTTGAATTATAACTTCTCAAATGTTTTTGTCCTTGAGTCAAAAGGCATCATGTGAGCGTTTAAGACGAGTCTCTCAGCAGTCCTAGTTTGCGTAGCGCGTTACGCCTGGCCTCATCTGTGGCTCCTCTCCCAGAAAACTGGACCGTTATTCCCTGAGCACGGAAGGATGGCTTTGGCAAGGGCCGTGACCCGGTGGGACTCAGTGGACTCGGGTGACGCAGGGGTCTTGGAGCCGCGATGGGCGGATTAGCATTGGATCTGTTTTCACAGAGCGACGCATTCCTCTTGGGTAAGTCTTCCTTCACAGTCCTGTTCGAACTGGAGTCGTCCTCTTTCACAGGGAAGAAGGTTCTGGATCGGGCTCCGTGGATTGGCTCAGGTGTACTCATGACTCTTGATCTGCCGCCGTAGTTGTTGAGATGGACCTCCGAAGCCTCTGTTTTGGGTAACGCACTGGAGACGTGCTCAGTCCTAAAGGACATTGAGGGGTTCAACTTTATGCTCTTCCCGCCATAGCTGTTAAAATCACTATGCGAGACTTCGGCGCTCGTCAAAATTGGTGCAGGGCTTGATTTGGTTTGGCAGTGGTCTGTGGTGTCCATAGCGCGGGCGACAGGACTAGCGTTTGCTGGTAAGCTAGTTTTGAATGTGGTGGTGGTTTTCGCGCTATCGGTCTGACGAGTGTTTGCTGGGATGCTAGTTTTAAATGTGGTGGTGGTTTTCACACTTTCTGTCTCCCTCGGAGAAGCATGTATGATGGATTGCGATCGCTTGGTTTGGCAGTGGTCTGTAGTGTCCGTAGCACGGACATCTGCACTAGCGTTAGCTGGTAAGCTAGTTTTGAATGTGGTGGTGGTTTTAATGCCTTCGGTCTCCCTCGGAGAAGTGTGCATGATGGATTGCGATCGCTTCTGAGCAAGTCCGAGTTTCGAAAGCGCCTCCATCCTGGATATGTCCGGTGTGGGATCTCGAAACGATATGCTTCGCGTGGGAAGCTTGCGAACGCAAGCTGGCTCTCCGCCGTCCAGAGGGTGCGCTGAACCCGAGAGGTTCGAGAGCATTAGCGCCCGGCGCTCCTGCACGGTCACGGCTTCGGTGGCGATTGAATGGGGAATGTGTTCGCGGCTGCCCAGTAACATGCTAATGCTGTCGGGGAGACGCGTGGGCTTGGCGTGAAGAGGAGGGCCGTGTTTGACCGAGGGGTTTTGTGGCAAATCCAGACTGCTTCTGCGCTGGAGAAGGGATGAAGCGGACGTGACGCTCTGGTGCTCGACAATCTTGTTGGCGATTATTGTTGAAGCTGAAGGCGGATGGTGTCCAACTTCTTGTGGTGGGTCTCGTTTCGCCTTTACCTCGTAATGAGTCTCCGGGGCTGCTTGGAAATCTGATGAAGAAAACACATTCACAATTGCGTAAATGAATCTCAAATACAGTAGTCAACATTTGAGGTGGATCAAAAACGTTCATCAAAGTTGTCCTGAGACAAGAACGTGTATTGTTCAAAATCCATGTATAACTTTGATGAAAGGTTTTGATCCACTTCAAATGTTTACTGTAGTACAAATGGTTTTATTCTGACAACAACATTTAATTTAAAAGAGCCAATCGGGATCCTTCTTAACTGAAAAAAAGAGCTCTAAATCATTCGGTTTGGTTAAAGGTACACTGTGTATTTTAAGTATTTTATTAGCTAAAATCAGTGTCTTTATTCATAAACATGTCCTCATTGGTGTAAAATTACCTCTGCCAATGATCTGACTTATCCTCATAAGCGAAGAATTTCTTATCTTTAATTACATGGGACGGGTAAGTCCATGTAGGCTTCCATGTCGTTCCGCCATTTTGAAAAACTATAATAGCAGAGAGGGACAAAAAGCACTAGCCTACCTAAACGCGTTTCCACAAAGAGCCAGCGTCACGTGATTGAAACCAGCTGAAGCGGACAAGGAGATCAGTGAGAGGCGCTTGTCACTGTCCCGGCAAATTTGAAAGGCTGCCGATTGAGAAGGAATCCTCGTCGCCAAAAAAGCAACAAAAAAAGCTTTTTTACCTGGGATGGCTTTTCCCAGGTGGATAGAGCTAATGAAGGAGGTAAGTCAAGTCAATAATGACTTACCAAGTCAAGACAGGTAAGTCAATTTTACGGTCTAAATGACAAGCTTTTTTTTCATTGCTTGGTTGTGTAATTCATTATAGGTAGCATAACAGTAGAACATGTATAGATAAACTCGATGAAGTGCTTTTGGAGGACATGTTGTCGTAGCTTCTTGGTACATAACGGCTAACGTCGTTGCAAAACGCATTTGAAAAAGCGAGACGCTAGAGCACCATTCGTTTGAATGCAAAATACAATTTCACCGCTAGATGGGAGAAATTCCCACACAGTGTACCTTTTAAGAGATGTCACGCATGATGGAAAGAATTATATTTGCAATGAGAATATAGTTTAAGTTCCATGACACCTAGGGATATTTTAATTGATGAATCCTGTACTTAGGTTATTTTTATTTTCAGTTGATTAATTTTAGTGCTTCAACTTAAACATTTCAGTTTATTGCAAAGGCAACACTTCTAAACTTCGTTACAAGTTAGAAGATTCACATATTTATATTTTATTTTAGCTTTATATCAAGATTTTTCTAACGGTTAATGTTATTTTCATATTGAAGCAGGGTTACAATCGTTGATTAAGATCAGAATTTGAATGTTTTCTGTGGTTAACATGGTTTACGGTTTCATTTGTAAGTGGTTCGCTCAGTAAGATGGGTGGATTTGTGTTGTTTTCGGGTACCTGACGTGAAGGGCAGCGTGTCTTTATGTTTGTTGGGATCGGGTGTAGGGTGGACCAGGTCAATGATGTCATGATCTACAGGGCTGTGATGTCGTGCCGTTTGTGTGTGTGAGGCCGGACGCCCCACCGTGAGCCTGTGTCCTGAGGACAGTCCCGTCCTCTCATCGTCCTCCTCCAGGGAGCCGATGGTCTCCTCAAAGAACAGAATACACTCCCTTTCCTCGAGACTGAGGAACTGCAGATCATCTTCCTAGAGAGAGAGAGAGAAAGTTAAGAAGGAAAAACCTCTGATGACTGCTAGTTGACACGTAGTTAACAGGGGTGTCACAATATATCACAATACAAAAAGGCAATATGTATCGTGAATAGTTCACCCAACATAAAAATGACTGTGTGAGGGAAAAAAAAATTCAAGTTTTCAGAGTTTTAGTGTCAGCACTACATTAAACTACTATGTATAATGTTGAATATAATGTATAATAATGCATATTTGTGTGTCCTGATAATGCCACATGTCTTGTTACCAGTAAAAAGTGGCCTATACATTATTTTAAATATATCTAGTCAGTGAAAGAGTGCAAGCATTCGTCTAAAATAATTCTGTATTTTCGGCTTCAGGATCATGAATATTGTTATTCTGGTGTCTCTATTGTTCATTGGGTTTCCAGCATCAAGTATATTCATTTACACCCATAATGTAATATCAAATTTAGCATTTTAATCAACAGTACATTGGTTTTTTAACCTTTTATCATCGCAGTAATATCGTATCGTGACATGAGGGTATCGTTACACCCCTAGTAGTTACTTAGTTACTAATGTAGTCGAATGTCTAAAGTGGACCATCGAAATAAAGGCCCATCTAACGACGCATGAGCTTCGTGACCTCCAGAGACCACTGTCATCAGTGTGAGGATTTACTGAGGAGCCTCTCCCTGCTCAAACAGCCGAACACAGACTCTACTCATGTAGAAAGCAGCTCCTCTCACAGGTGTGTGTGTGTGTGTGTGAACAGTGGGCTGCTTGTTCACCACCGGCGTACACACCCTTCACCCTGAACAGCCCCACTGTAAGTGATGTCCAGGCAGCTCACACACACATATTGCATCACTTTTGTGGGCTGGCTTTGGTCTGTGCCATTCAGTTTTCAGAAAACAACAGAAGCAGGACCGGCTTTTCCTCTCTGTTTGTAGAGAACAGCTGATGGTTTGTGTCGTGTGTGTCACTCCTTTATCTCAAACGCACAGGTTTGGATCAAATTACAAACAGCACAATGATGTCATGAGGAAATGATTGTGTGAAAGAGAGGAGAAGAAAGAACTGTTTGTGGCATATAAATACAGGATAGTGAGAACTTCTGAATTAAAATCTGAGATAATTTAAAAATAAAACAGCATTCTGCTCATACTTTTGCTATAGTAAAGAAAATGTATTATTTTGGGGGTCGGTCGATTTTTAATGTTTTGGAAAAGGCTCTTCTGCTCACCAAGGCTGCATTTATTTGATTAAAAATACAGTAAAAACAGTGAAATATTATTCCAATGTAAATCATCTGTTTTCTATGTGAATATATAGTAAAGTGTAATTTATTCCTGTGATCAAAGCTGAATTTTCAGCATCATTACTCCAGTCTTCAGTGTCACATGATCCTTCAGAAATCACTCTAATATGAGGATCTGATGCTCAAGAAACATTTATGATTATTATCAGTGTTGAAAACTGTTGCTCTGCTTCATATGTGTGGAAACTGTGATACTTTACACTTGCTTAGTTCATTGAGAAACTTTTAGTTTTTAATAATATTTTAAATTAGTTTATTTTTATATTTTCTGTTTTCATTTTAATTTCAGTTTTGTAATTTTGTTGTGTCATTTGATTTATTTTATATTTTTTAAATGTGTCTATAAAGTTATTAATTGTATTTTAGTACATCAATTTAAACTGAATGAAAATACAGACTTAATTGTAATAATTTAGTAACAGTGCATCTCTTCTTAAAACACACATGATTTGAGGAATCATTCATGTCAAATGGACACATACTTTGAGGCTGTAATAATAACCATGCTTTTTTTTTAAATCGAGATCATGATTATCCCAAGGTTCTGAATAGACAACTAAACAATAACATGTAATTTACTAGAAGTGACAAATTAAATTCAAATATTGATTCGCTTCGAAAGAATGATTCAATGACTCACTCATAAAGGCTTCACATTACTGGATGAATCTGCGTTTTTGAATGAATCTTTTGAATGATTCAATGACTTGCTCATAGAGACTTCACTTGTTTCATTACTGGATAAATCAACATTTTTAAACTAATCTCTTGAATGATTCAATGACAAACAGTCTCTTGTCGCACCTACTGGTGTAACGATGTAATTGATACAATCTTTACTTAAAGCGTCAAGTTACTTTCATAAGGTGATTTGCTCTATTTTGATCACTACTGTAGACATCAGTGTTTATATTCGAACTATAAACTTTTATGGCAGTATTTCTGTGATAATGTGAATTATTATAACACAGAAATAATGATACTGTGGTTGAAAAGACTGTTAGTGAAGCTGTTTCACACTGTACATGACGACTCTCATTGGATCAGAACACAGATCTGAATCAGGGGGATCGTACTCGTTAAAGCTTTAATAGACAGAGCCGAATCACTGTCATTTAGGAATGAGATCAATGTGTGTGTTTGAATCGAGATCGCGATCTTTAAATGATTAATCGTGCTTTGAATAGAAGTGATACTAATCAGAAAACCATCTGAAAATGACTGTGTCATCCAGAACCTGCTGGTTTTGTATAGATCATGTCGTGCTAATGTCTCAGATGCTGCTCGACTACATTCTTGTCTTTACTACAGAATCACATTCCTCTGAGAGAGTTCAGCGCTTTAGACGGATGAAGTGAGTAACACACACACACACACACACACCACACCTGTCTGAGGACCAAAACACAATGACTATCCTGTCATGCTTTGAACTGAAGGAACTGGTTTCTCTGCATCAATCAGTGTGTGTGTAAACGCGTGGGTTCATTTCCTTCTGCTGACAAAAAAAGTGTTTCATAAATCTATTTTAATCATAAATAAGGTGGGGTTAGGCTTAGCTGTAGTCATTATTATCGGCTTAAACGATACAGGTTAAGTGTTATGTGTTTTAATACTCACAGAGAAGCCCTTCGGACCATCGTTCCGGCCGTAGTGAAGCGTCCGACTGTTGTGCATGTGAACATCCATTACGGCATCCAGGCCACGGCGTCTTGTGAAAAAAAGGTAGAGTGGAAAAGGTCAGGGGTCGTGTGAAATGGTCTGAACATTTCCACGTACCCGACTGACTTGTTTCACATGATGCACCTGGAACACACACAATACACATCGTCAAAATCAATCCTCCTAACTGCTGTTCTCAGATCACTGAGGAATATTGTGTTTGCTCACACAGATCTCCTGAGGTCTGACAACAGCACTTATCAACACCACACAGCTTTAATCCAATGCTAGATCATTATAGAATCTGAATATATTTACTTATACAAGATAGTGATGCAAACAAATAAACATGGTAACAGAACGTTCTGGCAAGGTTCTCTCAAAGTTATGAACAAACGTTTTTCCAGTAACATAAACAGAAGGTTTGTTAGGAGTCTGGTCTGTAATTACTTGTTTAAAATGTAACCTGTTCCAATAAAGTTTGTAAAGTGATCAAATTACAAGTTCTATTAAACGTTTTAAACAACTGGACGCTATTCAGAAATAACGTTTTCATAATTTAGTGGGAATGTTAGCAAAACGTTCTAAGAATTATTTAATTTATTATTTATTTATAATTGGTTATCTAGAAAGAGAAACAAAGGTGTAACTATTCTATAATGTTAAAATAAAATAAAAAAAGCAATTCTGTTACATAAATGTATCTTTTTTAGGACGATTACGGTTTTTTTCTTAGTTAGGTTTTTTGCGTTATGACTTTAATGATAAACACATGTCGTTGTAATTACCGTAATCAAAATCTCGGTACAATAAATACTACTGTGAGATACGTAGTTTTCAAATTGACTTCACTGGCATGTAAATAATAATGATGAAATCATATTCAAATACATTTCCTCGCGATGAAATAGTGACCTGTGTCCGTTTTGAATGAGATTCGCCCAAACACACAAGAGTCTAAGATGACTTTTAAGAGGGGGGAAAAAAACTTTAACTTACCAAAACATCCTGAAACATCTGACCAGAGCAAGTTAAACGAATAAACCGAGTGTCATTCCAGTTCTGTTTCTGTACGCTGAGAGTGAATGCGTTTTAAATGAGTCTGTGCGCGTGAACTGGCTCATCAGGTTCTACGGGAGCGCGCGCTCGTGATGACGAACATCGAGTTCCTCCTCATTTTCTAAGCAAATGTTTCCAAGACTTTAATAATTGATAAACACTAGGCGGGGTTTGGCAGGGAAATGTTTGTGTTTTGATCAGAGTAAATCTGTGTAATGTCAGTAATGTTTACTTTGTTGAACCCTTATTAATGTAGATGTCGCGCCCTCTTGTGGCAGAAGCCATATTATTGTTTGTGAATAAAATTGTTGAACGAACGTACACATTATTTTAAATTATTACGTGAAATTATATTACAAATAATAATTTGTTTATCTCATGGACTCATATATAAATGTGAATCTCATATCCATGTCATTTTATGTACCCCCCAAAAATAAATAGAATAAAACGGTGAATAAATATTAAATTATATTTTGGATAGTGATGTCAAATTGATTAATCTGCTTACTTTATTAAATTTCTGTAACTGGAAAACTACTGTCAGACCAACCTGAAAAGCACAGTTTGTTACATTGTATTTATTTGTGCTTTTGATTGTAACTTGATTATTTGTTCTTATTTTATTACTGACTGTTTACTTGTTTTTAATAATGTTTTAAATGTATATTAGTTAGGCTAGTAGTTTTAGCTGTGATATCAAAATTGGAAGAGACAATTGTGAATTTTCTCTGGTATCTAAAACGTTGGTGTCATATCTGCCTGTTTTTGCTAAACTTGCATGGCCAGTAAAAAAATGTATTTATGGCCGGTGCATTTTTGTGGCAAAAAGGCCCTGGTTTTATCCGAGAAAAGATGCAGGAAAAGGAAAATATTTGATTTCAGTCATGTTCATGTATAGTGAGAAATAGCCTAATATTAATCTATCCAACTGTCCAGTCTTGCTTATACAGTATTAGATGTTTATTTTTTATTTTTTTTATGAAACAATCATGACTATATATGCAAACTAGAGTCCACTATCAGAGAACAGATAAAATAACATGTACAGTCATGGCCAAAATTGTTGGCACCCCTGGTAAATATCATCAAAACTGGCTGTAAAAAATAAATCTGCATAGTTTATCCTTTTGATCTTTCATTAAAAAAATTGGCAAAATTCTAACCTTTCATTGAAGTAAAAGAATTGAAAATGGGGGGGAAATCACATTATGAAATATTTTTTTTTTCTCCAAAACTCGTTGGCCACAATTATAGGCACCCCTAGAATATTTTACGAGTAAAATATCTCTGAAGGGTATTCCCATTAATATTTACATTTTTTTAGCACACCAGGGTGACTAGGAACATGAAATTGTCCAGCCATGACTTCTTGTTTCACAGGAGTTTAAATATAAGGAAACACAAATGCCAAATTCCCTTAATCATCCATCACAATGAGTAAAACCAAAGAATATAGTTCTGATGTGCATCAAAAATTGTTGACCATTACAAAATAGAAAAGTGGCTGTAAGAAAATAGCTAAAGAGTTGAAAATCCCCATTTTGACCATCAGGGCAATAATTAAGAAGTTCAAATCAACTAAAGATGTTATGAATCTGCCAGGAAGAGGACGTGTGTCTATATTGCCTTAATGCACGGTGAAGAGGAAAGTTTGAGTGGCCAAAGACTCTTCAAGGATCACAGATGGAGAATTGCAGAGATTAGTTGAGTCTTGTGGGTCAGAAAGCCACAAAAAAAAAAAAAATCAAACAACCCCTACATCACCACATGTTGTTTGGGAGGGTTTTAAAAAAATCTTCCTCGCTCATCCAAAAACAAACTCCAGCATATTCAGTTGTCAGACACGGCTGGACCTTCAAATGGCACAGGTTTCTGTGGTCAGATGAAACTAAAAAAAGAGCTTTTTGCCAGCAAACACGCTAGATGGGTTTGGTGCACACAAGGATAAAGAGTACCCCATGTGTACAATTTAATATACCGCTGGATCTTTAATGTTGTGGGCATATTTTTCTGCTGGACATCCTGGACTTCTTGTTCAGATACATGGCATCGTTGATTCTATCAAATATCAACAGATAAAAAATCAAAACCTGACGCCTTCTGCTAGAAATCTTATAACGGGCCGTGGTTGGATCTTCCATCAGGACAACGATCCAAAACAAACATCAAAATCAACACAAAAATTAGTTACGGAGCACAAAATGAAGCTTCTGCCATGACCGTCCCAGTTCCCGGACCTGATGAGTGCAGAACTGAAGAGAAGAAGCACCAACATGGATCTGGGAATCTGGAGAGAGTCTGTATGCAGGAATGGTCTCTGATCTCAGGTCAGGTGTTCTCCAATCTCATCAGGCATTATAGGAGAAAACTCAGAGCTGTTATCTTGGCAAAAGGAGATTGCAAAAAGTATTTAATAAAAGGGTGCCAATAATTGTGGCCAAAGTGTTTTGGAGAAAATTTATTTCATAATGTGACCCCCCCCCCCGCCTGCTTTCAATTCTTTTACTTCAATGAAAGGTTAGAATCTTGCCAATTTTTTTAATGAAAGATCAAAAGGATAAACAATGCAGATTTATTTTTTACAGCCAGTTCTGATCATATTTACCAGGGGTGCCCACAATTTTGGCCATGACTGTACAAAAATAACATAACATCTCTAACGTGTTATTATTGTAACCTACATCTGTTCTCTGACTCTTTTTTTTGCATATATAGTCATGATTGTTTCATAAAAAACCCATCTAATACTGTATAAGCAATGTATTGTGCTTTAGTTTTGCTTTTATAAAATGAGCATGCATGGTATGACAGATAAATTAATCTTCCTAAGTTGATTTGTTGTTAGGCTCATAGATTATGCAGCTCCTTTTTCTTATCAATTTGTTTTGTGTTTTACAGTATGTGTCAAGTTTACATATGCAGAAAAGAGGATGGATATTAAGTGTCATGTTGTCACTGCTCATAGAATACAAGATTACTTGTCAAATAAATAAATGAGCTTGAAATCATTACCTGTCCAGGAGCGGATTTCCATCAGTGAAGCCAATGTCTGTCCGTGTAACTCAGACACAAAACTGAGTTTGTTGATCTACAAAACAACAGAAACAAACCAATCAATCAAAGCGTCCCGTCACTGTCTGTCGTCATCGGGCTTTGCTCAAGGAAACACAATAACTTTCATATTGTCAGTGATATTTCATATTTATCAGTAAAATCTGTGAGTATCAAATATGATCATCTGGATTTTGAAGGTTTACTTGTTTATCTGTCAATCATAATTGTACATTGCATTATGTTTTAAAACTAAAGCTTTGATCATAAAAACAATTATTGGTAGATATAGTGACATTTACATGTCCCTAATAAAGATCTCATTGATTTACATTACAAGCACTATAATTCCATCTTACTTTTCGGCCATATATAAAAAAAACAATATCTGCACTGAATTACATGTTTTTGCTCAGTTTGGGTCAAAGTTGAGCTGTTTTTCCTCCATATTCTCACTATATGAGCCCAAATGTGTCAAATATGATACTAAACATAAACATATATGCACATTTTATATACTTGGTCAATAATCTTCCATGTAATTGTAAAAAAAAAAAAAAATTGATTGAACATGCATGGTTTAATATGATTAATGTGTCAGGGTTTACAGAGTTAATTCCATCACTACATGAATCTAATGAACAAGACACAACAGAAGTTGCTTACAGGCGAGTCGTGTGACATATTGGAGTTTGTTGGTTTTATGTGATGTGACAACTATAAATAAAACAATCTGCACGTGTTGTGGCGTCTCATCATCATTAAGCGTCCGCAGGTGAAACTAGCGCGCGCCACCTAGTGGACCGGATGGAAAACTGCACTTTAGTTTCGTGAGACGAAAGATACTTCATACATGAGAGATGGTGATGTGGATATACACGTACTTTTTCCTCACCTTGAAAGATAAAATAAAAAAAAAACATCTTGTGGGATTCGTCAAACGAATGACCGTCTACTTGACGGTTAGTGACGTTGACCACTGAACCACGTGACGTTGACCACCGAACCACGTGACTCTACCCTTTATTTGTCTTAATCCGTTTTAAACCACTAAAATTAAACCAAGATTCTCCTGTTGAAGGACATACACTTGTTATTATTACAATTATTTGATAAATGTTTTAAAATATATATTATAGTGTGTGTGGCAACAAAACATGTGACAAACTTGTCTTCTTAAGAAGAAATATTTTATGTATAAACTTATGAAACAAGTCCTTGGATTGTGTTATTCTCTGTGTACTGTTGTGTTTCATCTAATACTGTGTAGAAATAAATAAATACGGTATTATAATTTTAATAAAGCCAGTCAAATGACGCCCTTCTGTGGTGAATTAAGTGAATAACAAGCTGTTAATTATAAGTCCGAAGAAAACCGTGCATTAAATTATTTTGAATTGATTTCATATTTAACAAATAGTTTATTACAAAATATTGTAACTCAAAGTTTTCCTCTGACTGCAGTTACTGCTGTAGAAATAAGTTGCAGCCGTGTAATTCACACAGTTCACCACAGGAGGGCGGCTGGCTAAGTTGTCTTGTTTTAAAGTTGTAGTGCGTAACTTTTTGTGTTCAAAATGAGCGAGTACATGAATCAATGGTCCAAATCTTGTTTTTGTCTTATCCTGAATCACTTCGGTACACCTATAATAAGTGTTTATATTCGGACTATTTTATACTGGTTCTGGTCGTACCGCTGCGGAGTGGCACAGGACCTGCGTGGCTCGTCATGTTCAATTGCTTTTATCCGGACGCCCTCCTGTGGTGAACTGTGTGAATTACACTGCTGTCATTTTACCCATAAACATTTAAAGATTTGAGTCAGCGAAAGAGATGAATCGACGGTGCAAGAATTTCTAAGACTGACACAAACAAAACGATTCAGTCACATCTAGTTCAAATGAATATTATTCTCCACAAGCCAAAGGTAACGTTAAATTAGACTATAATTTAATATAGAAACAAATATGTATGACGAGTCACGCAGGTCCTGTGCCACTCCGCAGCGGTACGACCAGAACCAGTATAAAATAGTCCGAATATAAACACTTATTATAGGTGTACCGAAGTGATTCAGGATAAGACAAAAACAAGATTTGGACAATTGATTCATGTACTCACTCATTATATAATCTTTTAACATTTTGAACACAAACAGTTACGCACTGCAACTTTAAAACAAGACAACTTAGCCAGCCGCCCTCCTGTGGTGAACTGTGTGAATTACACGGCTGCAACTTATTTCTACAGCAGTAACTGCAGTCAGAGGAAAACTTTGAGTTACAATATTTTGTAATATTTAATAAATTGTTCGTTGCCTTGTGACGCAGTAAAACATCTGGCAAATTACCCTTTTTATTTTCTATAAATATATTTTACATCTGCGATATACTTTTTAAATGGAGTTTAATCGCCCTCCTGTGGTGAATTGTGTGAATTACACTGCTGCAACGTTTTCAGAGGGCCAGAGGAAAACCTTGCACTAAATTACTTTGCATTAATTTCACATTATTTAATAAATTATTGATTTAACGTGAGATAGTAAAAAATCTGCAAAAGTTCGCTTTTGTTTAGTGAAAATATATATTCTTATATCTGCATACATCATACATAAAGACTCGCGTCTAAACGCCCTCCTGTGGTGAATTATGTGCATTACACTGCTGTTAATTATTTCATTTCTGTTAAAACCTTTTATTAAATTATTTGCATTGATTAAAATCATTTGATAAATAATTGAAAACATCTGGCGAACATGTCGTTTTAAGACTAAATATATTGTTGTATGTATAAACTAATGGAAAATTATGAACATTTGATTGTATTATTATCTGTGTATTGTACTGCCTCCCGATTTGTTAAAATAAACAAATACATAATATAATTTTAAAAAGTCCAATGTCTTGTTCGAACTGTGGTAAATTCTGTGAATTACACTCCTGTTAATTATTTCTACCATATATACCTATGATTTCTAGTTAACTGAAGTCAGAGGAAAACTTTGCATTACATTATTTTACATTGATTTCATATTAAATAAATGGTTCGTTACCATATGAAACTCATGACCCCTTTTATTTATGTATTTAGATTGTACATACGTTTAAATTTTAATTGAAAACGCCCTCCTGTGGTAAAATATGTGAATTACACCACTGCAACATTTTTCTACAGCAAGTCCTCGTTGATTCAGACGCTTTAATAACAGAATAAATATAAGTGCGCGAAGAAACACCGCACGGTCATAATATAAATTATGCAGCGAGAACATTTTAATATTATTTGAAGTTCTTTTGTGTTGAATATAACAAAATATGGACTTCAATCCACGATGTATTTGGTATTTGTTCGCTAATGTTACATGTAAAAAAAAAAAAAAAAAAAGACCTTTATTTTGGAGAACAGCTGAAATGCACTTCCGGTGTTGTCACTGTCTACACTACCCCGTGCTTATTTACTTTCTCTGCAGTGATTAAATATGATTGTAAGCGGATTTTACAAAGCGTCAAACCTTCTGAAGTCCAGCGGGGAGGTTTGGAGGATCTGGATGAGGAAGATGAGCGCCGATTCTTCCTCTCTGACCGTGACAAAACAGCAGGATGGAATCAGGTGCGAACTTCTAGCGTGACCTCTGACCCGCATCGCTCGATATTATTTGTTTTATTAATGCTTAAAAAGTGGTCACGTTTATAATACAATTTATAATTTTATTTATAAACAGTTCATAATATTCAAATAATTGAACATACACCCATTGTAATACACAAATACACAGAGGAAAAAAATAGTTACTTATTAATTGCTAACGAAGGAAAAATATAAAATGATATAATATTCATAATCAATGAAGAAAACGAAAATAATATATTTTTTTTTACATCAATTATTATTAAAGTATACAAGTCCAAGCCTATTAATTTACACCCATAATGTGATATCAATATAGCATTTTAATCAACAGCACATTTTTTGTTCACCTTTTATCATATGTCTTTTTAGTATCATAATAATATCGTATTGTGATTTCAGTATCGTGATATGTATCGAATCGTGACAGCAGTGATTCAGGAACAGTGGTTTAGAATGAAGCATCAGATCTGATCTGGTGTGTGTGTGTGTGTTTCAGGAGGATTATCCTGAACAACCCCAGGAAGAGGAACGCTCTGTCTCTGTCTATGCTGGAGTCTCTGAGAGAAAACCTCCTGACAGACTCACACACACCAGACCTGCGCGTCATCATCATATCAGGCAAAACATTCAGTCAATCGAAAGTAAAATGCGTTCAGAACCAGCCACACACACACACACACACACACACACACACACACACACACCAGACCTGCGCGTCATCATCACATCAGGCAAAACATTCAGTCAATCTAGAGAAAGATGCGTTCAGAACCAGCCACACACACACACACACACACACACACTAACTCTGTCTCTCTCTGCAGCGCGGGGTCCTGTGTTTTCCTCGGGTCATGACCTTAAGGAGTTGACCTCTGCCCGGGGTCGCGAGCATCACATCAGGGTGTTCCAGACCTGCTCAGAGGTCAGAGGTCACTTACTGTACACAAGGTGCTTAAAGAACTTGAATTTGACTTGTTGAAATGCAAGTCCTGGAAAAGCCTTGAAAACAGCCATATTTACGAAGGTGCTTGAAAAGTGCTTGGCTTGCTTAAATACAATATATATGAAATTGATAAATAAATATGAAATTTCGAAAAAACAAATACAATCCTTGATACAAAGTACACCAAGATTATAAAATAAAATATTATTTATTAAAAAAATAATAGCCAATATAAACGTTGTATTTAATATAATATATATTAAGACTATTAAATGCATTGTAAGTTGTATTTTGGATACCTTATATCTGTAAAAATCCTGAAGATATTGTTTGATAAGTGCGATCTCTGATTATGGTCCCTAAAAATAAAAAAAGTAGAGCTTGAAAAGTCCTGGAATTTCTTTTTAAAGTTTCTATACGAGCCCTCAGAACGGAAGAGTGAGTGTGTGTAAGTGTGTGAGTGTAAGTGTGTGAGTGTAAAGGTGTGTGTGTGTGTCACGTCAAATACATTTCTTCCAAAGATGTTTTCTGTCATTTTAGGTAGTTTATTTTTACCACGATGATTTAAGTTAAAGTGTTTGGTTTTAGTTAGTTATTTGCTGCTATATAAACGGGAATGTGACGTCATGATTGACAGCTGTGATTGACAGCTTCTTTAAACGAAGTCACTGAGGCACCAACTGACTTTTTGGGGGATTTTCATGAGGAGATTGGAGCTTAAACTTTAATTTCTACACGTCCATAACTGTTTATTTCACATAGTAAACTTTGTACTAACCGTTACGAGTGTGTGTGTGTGACCTTGATATATCGGCTCCACACACACACACCCAGCAGGTCCCAAATCTTTGCGCCATATTAGGACTTTGGCAAGAGAGTGAAGTCCATCTTGTTTTACAGTCAGTGCAGTTGAATAACTCTGCCTTTCTCAAAGGTCATGACCCTGATTCAGGACCTCCCGGTGCCGGTCATCGCTATGGTGAACGGTGTTGCCACGGCGGCGGGTTGCCAGTTAGTGGCCAGCTGTGATATTGCTGTGGCCACAGATAAATCCACTTTCGCCACTCCTGGCGTCAGCGTCGGGCTGTTCTGCTCCACGCCGGCGGTGGCCATCGGGCGAGCGCTGCCCAGAAAGGTGATCACTCCTCTAGGGGTCGGAACCGCAAGATCGGGCCGGAATAATTATACGAGGGTCGTCAAAAAGCCTTCACTAACACTTTACATGGGCCTAAACAAGATCATATTATAAAGAAATAATAGTTTAAGGACACATTAATAATAGTGCAGTCAAATCGGGAATGTTTTAATCGCATTCAACATAAAAGTTTATATATATATACACACACACACATATACATATTAAATATAAATACTTATGTTAGATGCAATTAATCGCGATTGATCGATTTGACAGCACTGAGTAATAATAATTAATACTAACAAAATAACAATAATAATACAAAATGTTTTTTTTTTACTAATTATAAAAAAGACTAAAAAATTATTTTGTAAATGACTATTGTACTGCAAAAAATATATATTTGTAATTATTATTATTATTTAAAAATGATAATATTATCAAATAGAACCATATAATGATTTATTATTATTAGCATTATTTTAACTCTGTTTTACTGTTTTAGTTAACTCTATTTTAACTTTTATATTACAATTGTATTGTAAAAATCAATATTTGATAGTTATTACACCAATTATAAAAACAAGACTGCTGTTGTAAATTAAAATTGTACTGTAAAATAAAAAAATATTATCAAACCATATAATAATAATCTAATTATAAACAAGAAGACTGAAATATTAGTTTCGAATTAGTTAAATTATATTTGATAAATATAATATCAAATACTGTTATCAAACAATATAAATTTTTCTACTTCATATACACATAAAATGTAATTTACAAATATAATTATTATTTTAACCGATTATTAACCGACTCAAATATATTACTGTTGTAAATTGAAATTGTACTATAAAATAAAAAAGGAATATTTGATTGATAATAAGTCTAATATTATCAAATAACATCATTATTATTTAAACTAATAAACAAGAAGACTGAAATATTACGGTTGTATTATAAAAAATAATATTTGATAATACTATGATCAAACCATACAATGACAACAATAATAATAATTATAATATTATTTTAACCAAATTATAAAAAAGAAGACTAAAATAAATGACTGTTGTAATTTACAATTTGACTGTAAACTTTGATAATTGATTTTTTTAAACACAAGTTGCAATACTAATATTTAGAGTACTGAAAGAAAGCAAGTATGATGACGTCCCTGTCTCCAGGTGGTCATGGAGATGTTGCTGACGGGCCGCCCCATCTCGGCTCAGGACGCTCTTCTTCACGGGCTGCTCAGTAAAGTGGTGTGTGAGGAGCAGTTGGAGGAGCAGACGCTGGCCATCGCCAGGCGTGTGTGTGAGAGCAGCCGGCCCGTGGTGGCTCTCGGGAAGAGTGTGTTTCACAGACAGATGTCCTTGGGCCGGGACGAGGCGTACGCTTGTGCGTCTGCTGCCATGGTGGAGAACCTGGCGCTGTGGGACGGGCAGGAGGGCGTCAGGGCGTTCCTGGAGAAGCGCAGGCCTGTGTGGAGCAACACTGATGAGGAAGCACACATGTGACCCCACAAACACAACAAAACAATCAAGACCTACTCACAAACTTTTTAATTGAACGTTTATTCGCACACAAGCTCTTGCTTCTTCAAATGTAATGTCTTAATAAAGGGAATAGTTCATTTTTGGGTGAATTATTCCTATTTTTAAAGGGGTGGCCCTTTTCACAAGATGTAAAATAAGTTTGCAGTTGCATTCTTCACATACACATATGTGTGTGTGTGAAGTTTGAGCTCAAAATACCCCATAAATATTTTTATATAGCATGTTAAAATTGTCACTTTTTGAGGGTGAGCAAAAACGCACAGTTGTTGTGTGTGTGTGTGTCCCTTTAAATGCAAATGAGCTGCTGCTCCCGGCACAGTGGGCGGAGCTACAACAGCTCGTGTGTGTTTGCCGCTTTAATTACCTCACACAGACACACACTGAACATTTCAAAAACTTGTAGCCTTTTATGTTCACACCAAAGATGGAGAGACTCAAGAAGAAGTGACAACATTTCTGAATGGTTAGTTGATGAATTTATGCAGCTAATGTGTAGTTATCTTCTAGTCATTTATTCTGTCCCCGGGGGCGGGGTTTATGTAAATTTTAGGGTTGGTGATGTCACTAACCCGGGAGGAATGTCGTGTTGTTCCTACCAGCCGTTTGTTGTAGTCCTTAAAAAGAAAATATCTCCATTTGCGTTGCACTTCGTAACTTTGCAGATGTTGTTTAAAACACTACACATGATGAACTAAAGTTAGAAAAGTGAAATCATAATCAACCACCCCTTGAAATGCGTTTGCTGGTCTGAACGTCCCAGGAATGCTTTAATTAATGAAGGACAACACAAAAAAAAAATCATCAAAATAATTTCATCCTCTACTTTTTTGAAAAAATAAGTCTTTAGGAGCTCAAATGAAACCTCTCCTGACGTCTGCTGGTCGATTCCCTCCCGGACGCAGATTCCGTCGGCCAATGGGAACGCTCGTTCCGGGGAGGTGACCTGGGAGTGGGCCAATGGGGTCGAAGCGTGGGCGGGGCAGGAGGACAGGTGATTGGTCGTAGTCTCCTCCGATGATGCCGGGAGGGTAAAGCGGGAGCGGGAGGGGGAGCGGGGGGGATGGGAACGGGGAAAGAGGGAAAATCGGAGGAACGTGGTGTGGATAGAAACGGCATCTGTGTACATTCTTCAATTTAAACTTCTTTTTGTAAAGCTGAGGGCAAAAAGAAAAGTCAAGTCAGCTTTATTTCTAGAGTCAGCTTTATACAATACAGATCGTTTCAAACTTAATCAGATATGAGACGAATTCTCTAAAGAGACAACGCTGTCATTATTCAGCTCAATTATGTAAAGGTCATCAATTATGAAATTAGTTCAATTCAGCACTATCACACCAGTGTAATTATTCATCTCACGTCAACTCAATATTGACTGAATAAAGGACAGTTCAAAAGCAGAGCTTAGAGTTAAGAATAGCATTTATAAAAGAAATCAAATTAAGAATGTAATATTCAGTTTAGATTGTTTGGTGACTCGAGGGTCAGTGAGAAATTATTCCTTTCAGAATTATATTAAAAATAAATAAATTGCTAAATTTAAATTCCTTTTATTATCAGTTTCAATTTGTTTTTTTATTTTGTTGTTCCATTATTAAATCATAAAATCAAAGTCTTGTATATGCATCAAAAATATGATTATAAAAATATATAATAAAAATGTAGATTGTGATAGATATTATAGATATTCAAAAAGCAATTAATCCTTTAATAAGAATATTAAAAATAAATAAATTGCTAAATTGAATATTACATTGCCATTAATGTGGTTAATTGAATGAGTTTTGATTATAATATTGCAGAACATGATCATAAGTAAAAAAAAAAAAAAAAATTTTTTATTGAGTGCCAATGCTATAAGACATGGTTTCTAAATATGATTGACAGATGTTTTGCTCACCTCTCTCCAGTCAGTGTCTCTGTGTTGATTTCCTGCAGAAAAACTCACTGCAAAACCACACAACACTTGTCTCAGTTACACTTCATCTGTCTGATGTGTGTTTAATGTTACTGTGAGTGAGTGTGTCTAGATAGATTTGTGATAGATAGATAGATCGATAGATGATAGATAATAGATAGATCTATAGATAGATAATAGATAGATAGATAGATAGATACCCCTAAAGTCTCTGTGCAGCAGGTGTCTCCAGAGTGAAGGATCTTGGGTAGCGACGTTCAGGTCTCGGCACACAGTCGACAGAGAGACGAGAGAGACGACGTCCAGGAGCCGTAACACACGCAACAGAAGCTCAGGAGGAAGAACAGCCAGACCGAACAGAGCCGGCAGACCCAGCGCTGCAACACACACACACACAGCCATAAAACACACTGAACGGACACGTTACCAGTTTGAACGCATTGCGAGAGGAATAATCACCCTGTCTGGCAGCGGCCATGAGCGGATACACCAGCTGATCTTTAAAGAGACGAGACAGTTTTCTTAAGTCTCTGTAGACAATGGCTGCGCTGCCGCCTGTGGAAAGAGACAACTTCAGCTTAAATATAAAAACATCCGTGAGCATCAAGTCAATTACAATAGAAAATCACTTTAAAGTCCCCCTGTGGTGAAAATCAAGCGTTTAATGTTGTTTATGTGTCTATGTGGTGTTTTTAATACGCTTTAAGACAAACCATGTGTAAGTGCATAAGTCTGAGTATTTTCTCCTTAAAACATTTTAGACCTTGTAATGTGTAATCAAAATGTCTTTGTCTAATGTTGACAAAATATAAGGGATCCATTATATATTAAAGCTGATAAATAATGTATAATTTCCTTCAGCTGAGACACTTCAGATGTGCACTGTTCAACATGATGGATTTGATGGTTTTTGAAATATGATTGGAATCAAAAAGGAAAATACAGTGAAGTGCAAGCCTGTCATATAGGCTAAATAAAATTATAAGTAGAACATGCAAACACAATGTTTTCAATTGTGTGCTTGGGAATAATTCATCACGACTTGAAGGATCAGCTTCTGTAGGAATAGAATAATAATATTAAATGCGATATAAAACGTACCTGCCCAATCAGCTGTCACATAAGCATCTGGTTTCAGTGCCAGCTTGCGAGAATTCTCCATAGTCTTGTCCATCTTAAGAACAGCTGTTTCACAACACATAAACAGTGTTACAAATACAGAGAGAAGACAGTGCTGACTAATGACACCTGCATATGCAGATTAGGGGTGGAGCGGTTCACAGAATCTCGGTTCGGTTTGTATCACGGCTCTGCGGTTAGATTCGGTATATACTGTTAATGTCCTTTTAAACACTTTAGAAATGCCATACATCAGCATAAATAAAATAGCCGTATAACCTACCATTTACAGTATTAAAAACATGAGTTATTCTCAAGATCATGTAATCAAAAAACTGAAAGAATGAGGCAACTTGATCTTAGGAATAGACACATTATTGTGACACTGACAATCATAAATCTGTGAGATTCTGATACAGCAAAAGGGGAGATTTTGTTAATTTCAACAGCCTTTTCATTTATTTGTAAAAAAGTTTAATAGGTCTTTGTTAAAATAGGTCACTGTTACACCATGTCCTAACCAGACGCGATGCGACACGCAATGATTCTATTTTAGAAACACACCGGACCCGAACAATACACACGTGTCTCGATCCGTGACAAGTGAATTGAACGATTATTTTCATGAACCGTTCCACCCCTAATGCAGATTAACGCACCATTAATGACGAGCGTTTGGCCCATTGGCACGGAAACCACTGACACCAGGCTGTTCTCCAGAAGTGGGTGGGCGTACTGAAGCCTGTACACGCCCCCTGCCGCCCGCCAGCCAATCGGCATCTCGCCTGAGTTCACATTAGAACCCTGAAAGGGAGAATAACCAATGTGGGACTTATGAGTTGTGCCGGTAATATGGCACATTCACACATAAACGTGAATTGAACTGTATTGAATCAGGTGAACTCTGACCTGTGGAAGGAAGCCGGTCTCCAGCAGCAGTAAATGTGCCGCCAGCATCAGACAGTCTGATGTGTTTCTACATCTCGCTGAGTCCAGGAGCCTCTCGAGCGTGTGAGGAATCACTCCCTCCTCCTCCGTCTCACAGCACAGGAGCGGTGGAGGAGCGAACACACACTCCTCGTCCTCTAACCACTCCTCCATCACAGCATCCCTCGCACTGCTGCTGTCTGCGCCACCGGCCTGAGTCAGGACACACACACACACACACACACACACACACACACACACAGTCAGGGTGTTTGTCATTTCAGTTTCTTTTCTTTGGTTGTTGATGCTTATTAAATAATGCCAGCGATGCAGTTTTAGGGCCCTGTGAAATCGCTTTTATTATTATTTTAATCCTAAATGATGTGTTTTCTGTTTACATTTTTTAAAATAAAAGTTCACAAATCAAAAAGGATGTCTAATACAATCGAATGCATAAAACTTTAACAATTTTAATGTTTTTAAATTGAACCATAATAGAGCCTTTTCAGAAATTCTATGTTGACTGTTTTCATTTTTCATCTTTTTTAATGGTTTAATTCAATTTTAATCATTAAAAAAATTTGGTCTAATTCATAAAACTAACAATTTAATAATTTACAAAAATTTTAACAAATAATAGTGCCCTATGAAATGTTTTATTTTTCAGAAATTCTGATGTCTGTTTTTTTTTTGGTTCTATGATTTAATGCAACTTTATAATAATAAAAACAGTGGTAATGAAATGAATGCACAACATTTTGTGTATATTATAGTTTGTATAATGCACTAAATTCTAAATCTCATATTAAAAAACTTCAATATCTAATATTTCTATATATATATTAGATATTGAAATATATTGAAATTTGTTAATAAACACACACACACATATATATATATATATATGTGTGTGTGTGTGCGTGACACAAACATAAACACACACACACATATATATGTGTGTGTGTGTGTGTGTGTGTGTGTGTGTGTGTGTGTGTGTGTGTGTGTGTGTGTGTGTGTGTGTGTGTGTGTGTGTGTGTGTGTGTGTGTGTGTGTGTGTGTGAGAGTGTGTGCGTGTGTTTATGTTTGTATGGTCCTGACTGTATTATTTTAATCCTACTGTCCAACAGTGATATATTTGAGGGTGGGATCTCACCTCCTCGCTGGAGCCGGGTGTGTTTTCTGCTCCACTCGGGGTTTCTGGGGCAGTTTGTGTTTGCTGAGAGCTGCTCTGGGGCAAAATCACACTGATCATATCTCCAGAAACAACCCCAGAGGAGGCCAGCGTCTGTCCCGTGTCCAGAAGCTCCTCTGTCCCGTTCAGAGACAGCCTGAACTCCACATCAGATCTACACAGAAAGAGAAAGAGATGAGATGCCTCTCTGGCAAGCCGTTATGACTTTTATTCATTTCCAGATGTAATTCCTGATATCAAAAATGGCAATTGTTACTAGTAGAAATCTAATTCCTGATATCAAGAATTATCATTTTAACTAGTGAACATTGAATGGTTGATATCAGCTATTCATATCGTGGAATGGAATAAAAGTCAAAACGGCTTGCCAGTGCTTTAGGTGGGCAGAAATGAAAGTGCAATTTATATCTGTGCAATACTATCAAACCAAACTCATGTGGAAAATCCAGCTAATAATAACAATAATCAGCATCAAATGTTTAGGCGTATAATTACAATTGTATGTACATAAAAACAAACAAAAAAGGATGTATAGACAAGTATAAGTAAATATAAACACCAGTGACAGATGAAAAACTTGTAGAAATGTAAGCTTGGCAACTAACTGACGCACTAAAACTACCCACTGGAAATTAATAAACAAAGACTTAACTAAATGAAACCTAATGAAAGCTCACCCCAGCAGGGTGTCTCTGATCCGGACTCTGAGCTCGGAGAGAGTCGGTTCTGGTCCGTCCAGTTCCAGTCGCCTGGTCTGTCTGTTGATTCGGACCCGGAGCTTCATTCTAGACAGAAGACAGAAAACAGAAACATGAAAACAGATCCGTGCTCCTCAGATTCGCTTTCACTTCACATAAACTCTCCAGAACCGCTTTTACTTTCACTAACAGCTAAACTACACAGCGATATTTCACCGTTACCTGCTGAATTTAGTTCAGTGTTCGGCGCCACTGCATATTCAAAGAGTAAAACCTCGAATTATTGTGTTAATATTAAATATTAATGAGACTGAACAAATGTAAACATCACTCACCTTTCAGATACGTCAAAGTAACGCAGAAACTGCAGCCGAGCAAAACAGCTGAGCGAGAGACTGTCAAAATAAAAGTCCCATGCCATTGGCCATTTTCTGTAAATAAATCTGCCAACTCATTGTCAAGTTTTATAACATTATTTGTCAATCAAATAGTCAATATGTATTTAAATGTATAAATTAAAGTTTATAAATATTTATTTATAAATATCTAATATATACAGCAACAAGATGGCAAGGTCGTCTTTTTTTGTAATTTGATGCAAAGGTAATATAACACAAAGTATAGTGTTATATATGTAAATACATTTTAAAAAGTTAAAATATAAAAAACTTAGGATATAAAACGCAGGATTTACGATACAGATGACCGCGTCCTCATCACTGTCAATGAAAAGGGTCCGTTGAAAGTGTACATTTTCAGTGCTTTTCCCCGTCAGTTTAAATATAATTTAAAATATATAATTATTATTTTATTAATATACTCGTTATTTTGCAGTGGTTTGTCAGCTTTATCCCATGTTCACTGCCCCATTTGTTGTAAGTTTATATTTTTTCTCCATTTACTACATTAATTGCAATAACCTCGTGGAGCGTTAGGCGGCGCTGAACATCATGAACAAACCCGCGACAGGCCATATAAAACCCAAGAGAAGAAGAAGTGGAAGAACCGGAGAAGCGTGTGAAGAGAGTGTCAAAAGTGCGTTCATTAATTTAATTTTAAAATGAGTCGCACCTATAACGATGAGCTTCAGTACCTGGATAAAGTCCACAAAAACTGCTGGCGGATCAAGAAGGGCTTCGTGCCTAATATGCAGGTAAATCACGTGTTAGAAACGCAAACGTGTAACGTTATGATTCAGTGACGCATATGGAGAATCCAATCATTACATCAATAACAAAATTAGTAATACTCAGTAAATTAGTACTTAACAGTACAGCACTTTGTGCCTGATTGATTTAGATGTTGAATAATGTTTGATCCTCAGGTGGAGGGTATTTTCTATGTCAATGATCCACTGGAGAAACTGATGTTTGAGGAGCTGAGAAACGCCTGTCGCGGTGGAGGTGACGTCACAATGTTTTATTGAGCCATTTGTACAAACACCCTGTAAATAACAATATGCGTTTGCATTGTAACAGTAGTGTGAAGAAGTTAATTTACATAGTCATTTTTGCCCTAAATCAAAGTTTGTAACATGGTGATTAATCTCAAAGCTGATTGGCTGATACTCCACGAACTCAATCAAACACACCTGTCAATCATAGTCATAAAACACATCTTATGCACAGACTCAAGGTTCATTGACATTATGTGGGGTAAATTCTTCCAGAAATGGTTATGAAGTACAAAATTCATGATGACATAAAACATTAAAGCATTGTTTTAGCCAACAGAAATTGTAATTGCTCATTTGAATAGAACATATAAAATGTGAGTCAATGTTAGTGAAAGATACTCTTGACCTGTTTCCCAGGTTTTGGTGGTTTCTTACCTGCCATGAAGCAAATCGGAAACGTTGCCGCCCTGCCGGGAATCGTACATGTGAGTAAAATTAGCAGGATTTATCATCACATGAAATGCATAACCTGGCTTTCAGCAAAAAATATAAACCTCTATCTTACCTCTCAGATACAAAATAGCGCAGAAACTCGAGATTGTCAAAATAAAAGTCCCTAGTCCCTAGAATTACAGTTGCAAAATCTCATAATGTCCCTCAAACTGAGTAGTGTATCACTGAGAAACACTGAGTCCTGCTTGCGATGGAGATTTGGGTTTAATGAATGTTAATTATGAGAGAATTAATGTTTTTTTACCTTTGATGCATGTAAACCAGTTGTAGAGACTCCAAAACAACATTAGGAAACTTTAAAAATAGCATAATAGGGGCACTTTAAATAATATTATTTTGCAGTGCTTTGCTTTGTCAGCTCAAGCTCATGTTCACTGCTGCTTCCGGTTTCCTCATTCACATGTGTTCTTCAGCGGTCTATCGGCTTACCCGACGTCCACTCCGGATACGGGTTTGCCATCGGGAACATGGCTGCGTTTGACATGTCGAACCCGGATGCTGTGGTCTCTCCCGGTACGTAATGGATCCGCGTCATCCTTATTCTGATTCAATTTTATACACGCAAATCTAAATATCTGAAATTGAGACCTAAGTTCTGTGTATTTCACAATGAGTTTCTTTATAAAAATGCCCTTAAAATGATGAAAAGTAAAACATTTTTTGCTACAATAGAAGAATATGACTTCTAAACCCTATCTTTAGAAGGGTTTTCTAAAGATAGAACCCCCCCCCCCCCCCCCCATCTTCCTTTTTTTCTGTTCTGTTATGCACTTTTGCACCTGATCCTACTGTCATAGTGTAATTGTATATTTTTGTTGCATTGTTGACAAATTGTTCAATAGGAAGAAAAAAAGAATCAGATTCATGATCGATCGGTCACACTCCGGGTTTGAAATTAACTTTCACTTAACACTTAATTTTTTACTTAGCATCAGGATTTTAGATGATAATTTAGGTGCATAATTGAAAGTATACATTTTTATTTACTGCTCGAAATTGAAAGATTTTTGTTTACTACCCTAACCCATTGAAATATCACTGACTCGCGCTGTAACGGCTCATTGTGTGTGTGTGTGTGTGTTCTGTGCAGGGGGAGTGGGGTTTGACATTAACTGTGGCGTGCGACTCCTGCGAACGAACCTGGATGAGTGCGACGTGCAGCCGGTGAAGGAGCAACTGGCCCAGTCCATGTTTGACCACATCCCCGTCGGAGTCGGGTCCAAGGGCGTCATCCCGATGGGTGCAAAGTAAACACTATCATTCCAGCTACACTATCTCAAGAAAGCTTTCGTCTTTATCTCGTTTATTTGTTCTGAACTTACTTGACTAGAGAAATCAGAAAAAGAGATTCTTCTAGGGAAAAAGGGAAACACACAAAATGCAGAAGTTAAATCTGTAGTTTTAACAAAAGCCCTGGAGATGTTGAAATTCTGCCGGATAATTCAAAAAGATGCTTTTATGCAAAAAAAAAGTCAACCATAGATTAGAAAGTTCAATTCAAATAGTATAGAAATAATACTAAAATAACAGTGTTTCACACTCAGGACATGTAAATCTAGCTCTAATGGCACAGGCTTTAGTAAGCGATGTGTGTGTGTGTAGAGATCTGGAGGAGGCTCTAGAGATGGGTGTGGACTGGTCACTGAGGGAGGGATACGCCTGGGCCGAGGATAAGGAACATTGTGAGGAATACGGCCGAATGCTGCAGGCCGATCCCAACAAAGTCTCGTCCAAAGCCAAGAAGAGAGGACTGCCACAGGTACACACACGTTTACAAAAACTGCAGCAAAACATCAATATCAGACTCTGTGCTTGTGTGTTTTACGGTTGTATAAACTGAAATTTCGACAAACGAAAATATTTGGCCAAAAAAAAAGAATTTGAAACTGTTTTGGAGGGCCGAAATCATTGCCAGGAACATCATGTGATCGATCGATCAGGTTTCAGCTGCGGAGAGACGTAAAAAAAAAAACACAGCTTGTTAAAGCTGCCGTCGGCAACATTTTTTTGATCATATTCAGTGAAATCGACACTATAATCTGACAGAACAACATAAATAAAGTGGCTTTAGAAAAAAACCCGAGCTTCTAACTCCACCTGGAGCGTGTTATTTGTTTTGCAAAAATCCACAGCTCCCGGTTCATCATGTCCAATCAGCGCAGGGGGGTGTGAGATCTGACTGTCAATCACAGATCGGGCACACACCACCCCTCGCGCACGTTACAATCACATGCACACGCCTGAAGTTCGTGGAAGTTCGCGCAGTAACGAAGAGTGATGCCGGAAAATCAAGTAAGCTCATTTAGAGTATAAATAACGTCAGCAAATGCAATCTATCGGTAGATTAGCCAGGACAGCATACCTCCAAATACTCCATGGTGTTGATGGATGCTGATGAGACGGGCGCGTTCCAGGGCTCTTAAGTTTTGAAGACAGGTAAGAGTGACACCCAGCCGACGGGGGGTTGGATACATTTTTGTCATTGGTTGTTGCGTTAAATCTTACCCAGATACAATAGTGCTATTTTCTGATTGGCTATTGTGTAGCTCGACGAACAACACCAGAAGAAACGCGCTTGATTCATGTCGGTTCCACAGTGAGAGCGGCGTGGCCAGAGTTTTGGGCGCTGCGGTATATTAAATATATTACAAATAGTTTTTCAGCGTGAGAAATACAATGTGTGGCGGGAGAGCGTGACAAAAGACCGAAATGAGTGACTGTCACGCTCAATGCGTGACACTTGAGAGCCCTGGCGTTCACTGAAAATCTGGTGCACACGCACTGACGAGCATGAACTGGGTGGGAGGGTATCCGTTGATAGTGGGGGAGGGGCATGAGAGTTGTAAACATTCAAAATTTTCCTAAATCCACTCAATCTGCCAGACTTGCCGACTGGAGCTTTAAACAATGTCACCAGGGTTAGAAATGAAACCCGGGTAAAAATCAAATGTGGTGGGAAACGCTGTCAAATCACGAGCCAATTTGGCGTGTAACTTATTATGCTCGCTCAAGTTCGTGTAAGACAAATCTGCGCAGATTTAGCACAAATACTCGTGAGTCATCATGATATATTAATGCAGCGTATTGCATAGAATCTGCTCATATCTGGCTTACTTGAACACACTCGTCACTACGCAGCAAATAACAGCACGCTTGTTCATTTGCATTGAAGCAATAGCGAAGATTAAAAAGCATTTGGTGAACGGAAAACACATTTTCCAACATCCTACTTTTTTTTGATGTTCTTTGTCCTGTATTGATCTGTCCACATAAGACACATTTATGGTGATGAGGATGAAAGAGGAAGGAGATGCTGGATGACAGGATTTTGTTTGAATAAGAAATGAATGTATGAAATCCAAATTTTATGATATATATACTAGGGTTTGGCTAGTAGAAGTTCTAAATGGCCGGTAACT